CCTTTTCCACCAAATCCAAATGACCCCCCCGGTCCCATCCTCCTTCCTGTCTCCTCAGTCTGAGCCTCCTCGCCACTCTTGCACGCACTATTATTTATGCTGCGACGGGGCAAAATGTGTTTTTCCATTTAGTGACTTGAAAAGCTGTAAAATCTTTTTTTTTTTAATCCCTACAGCGTTGCATTTGGGCCTTATACCCATCCATCCATCAATCCATTTTCCGATCCGCTTTATCCTCACAAGGGTCACGGCGGGTGCTGGAGCCTATCCCAGCCGTCTTTGGGTTGTAGGCAGGGGACACACTGAACTGGTTGCACGCCAATCGCAGGGCACCCATAGATTAACAACCATTCGCGCTCACACTCACACCAAGGGACAATTTAGAGTGTTCCATCAACCTGCCATGCAATTTTTTGGGGAATGTGGGAGGAAACCAAAGTACCCAGAGAAAACCCACACAGGCCCGGGGAGAACATGCAAACTCCACACAGGGAGGCCGGAGCTGGAATTGAACCCAGTACCTCTGCACTGTGAGGTCGACGCGCTAACCACTGCTCCGCCCGGGCCTTACACCACCAAACTGATTTGGAAGAAAGTGTTTGGTGTACAAGCTGCAGAGCAAACTGACTTACAGTCACTGGAATGGAAGGCCTGCAAAAACGGGCCCAGTCGATGTCATTGATTGGACAGCAAGTGCTCCAAGTCTGCTCACTGGCAAGTTTGGGAAGGTCAGCAGATTCCTCAGTGGAGTGAAAAGCACCAAAAAATGGGAAATAACATTATCTCAGTGAGGAGGCATGATTTGGATACATTGCTATCAGCAAACAGAAGAAGTTCATGTGAGCTTCTCATCAGCACTCGAATAGAGGTTTGCACCATTCTTTCTCTTGACAGAAAGCTACTCTGCACTTTTGTGCCATCATGGCTGAGATGATTTCTGGACAACCGCCAAGTTGCTTTTTGCCCTCCAGCTCTTGATTTCTCACAAGAGTGTCTCTGGCATGGCCGGCCATAATGATCAATGACTCCTAATGGAGAGGTGGGCGTGCAAAGGATTGCTAGATTCTGTTTTGCGAGTAAAATACAATTTTTTTGTGGGCGTGATTCAGAATGCAGACGGTTCACAATGAGAATCTGTTAGAGACGTCGGATGTTATTTTGTCTCGGTCAAATCATTGGCAGACTTGCAACACTGCCAAATGCCTCAGGAATGCAAAGCGAGTGCAGGACATGCGGAACTCTCAACCAAACTATTGTAATCATACCATCAGAGCACAGACAGAACACACATAGATAAACAACCATCCACGCTCACACTCACACCTAGGGACAATTTAGAATGTTCCATTAACCTGCCATGCAATTTTTTGGAATGTGGGAGGAAACCGGAGTACCCGGAGAAAACCCACACAGGCACAAGGAGAACATGCAAACTCCACACAGGAAGACCGGAGCCGGAATTGAACCCTGCACCTATGCAGTGTGAAGCCGACCTGCCAACCAGTAGTCCACTGTGCCGCCATCTCTGATTTCAAAACTAGCAATTTATCAATGTGTTGTGTCTACATAATATGAGGGTATCAAATCATATTATGTGGGTGCACAATGGAAACTGAATAATGTCCCAATGAAGTAAAAGTAAATCGACATTTCATTTGTCACATTTTACTGCAGGGCAAATTACATTGGATAAAGAATTTTATCCTGGAGGCCCCATGGAGCATTTTCAGATCCTGGAATTTTACTGACATCTAAAGTCGTAATTGTGAAAGTGCAGCAACAGAAATATTCGATTCCATCCATCCATTTTCTACACTGCTTAACATGAACAGGGTCATGGAGAGTTGCTGGAACCTCTTCCAGCTGACTTCGGGCTAAAGGCAGACTACACCCTGAATTGGTCGCCTGTCAGTCGCAAGGCACCACTACACCATTAGCGACAATACAGGTGATCATAGGAGTGCGTGTGCGTGTGCGTGTGCGTGTGCGTGTGCGTGTGCGTGTGCGTGTGCGTGTGTGTGTGTGTGTGTGTGTGTGTGTGTGTGTGTGTGTGTGTGTATGAATCAGCAATATTATTCAAAAGCAAAGGAATTGAAACAGCTGTTGGTCATTAGAAGTCTAAGAACAGATATGCCCTTTCACCTTCATGCCGTGCAATGTTTTCACGTATGTGTTTACGTGAGAGGGAATAGAAGTCATTTTCAAGGACAGGGTGCATCCAGTCATGTGTTGGATTTAGGCCAAAAATCATGTGACTCTGCTTGAAAAATAGTCTGGTCATATCACTGATATCAAACAATATCTAAAAATAACCACAATGTTGTAACCAAAGGCAGCACTGCGCTTCAGTCGCATTTGTAGTGCCTTAATTTCACAAATAATTAAATTCTACGTTAGATAAGCATGATTTATGTAGAATGTCATTTACCACAACGCTGTTCCTGATTACTTTTCTGATTCATGCCAAGTCATGCAGATTCTTATACAGTTGTCATTACTTGAAAACTGGGAAAGCAATGACTCATTCGTGATTGGACAGATGAGTGAACTATGATCGACAGATGTCGGTTTAATAAGGCACTGTCGTAGATTCTTTAAATTGTAATAATCTAAAAGTGCCACTAGAGGGTGCCCACACAACGCTTGACGTGGGAATGTCGCAGGTTCGACAGAGAAACGTTTCATACATGTACTGTATTCTCTCTCTCTCTCTCTCTCTCTCTCTCTCTCTCTCTCTCTCTCTCTCTGTGTGTTTTTACTGTGTAACGTTGAATGTGAAACTGAACCATGAAACTTTGTGGTGGTTGCACAAGGAAGTGTCTTGCGATTGTCCTTGAGAATTCCCCCAGAGCCCACTAAAGTGTCTCTGAAGCTGACAGGAAATAATTAAGGCGCCTTCGTGTTGATCATAAATGATTTAATGCCCTCCTTAACGATAAGAGGAAGGCAGATGCAAAACAACTTCAACAAGCCAAGAGACAGCCTTTCGCCAAAGCAGTTTCCTGGGACTTGAATTAGTCTTTGGTGACACCAATTGAGTGCTATGCTGTCATACTTTTTATTTTTGATGTTATCCAAACACAACCCAGTTTACAGTTTGTACTGTTGTCATCATCATTATTATTATATATAGTTGTAGTACATGTCTTTTAAACTGCATTTAAACACTCACTCTACATAGTACAATCTGTCGAACAATAATATCACACATGACATATCACATTTATTGGAAGTTGACAGAAAATGCATTGATCAGTAGGCGGCATCTTAAGGGTTTGAATGTGTCAGTTGAAAACAAAATGCTTTCTGCTGAAATATCGACGTGGATTCAGACATAGTTAACATGATTGCTGAATATGTGGGGAATTATTTGGCTTTTCTGGTGGTGACGTTAGCTAGCAGGCTAGCCATTATGTTGTGATAAGAATGGTCTAAAAAAAGTGCTTCTCATGTTTTTCTTACGCCTCCACACGCCCAGTTAGAAGTTTCGTTGCCGCCCCCTCACCCCAATCCCCCTCCCTGACTATCATTGGTATCATTTGTCCTTAAAGTTGTTGTAAGTACATCTCCGCAGAGGAGCGAATACACCCTGTGCACTCTCTTACAATGACAGCATCACTGCCACCTACTGTAGTGGATGTGCAATAGCAATGTGACCTACAACATGTAGAACTCAATTAAAAAAAAAAAATTGACATATTTCCAAGAAGGAAAATGCAAATACATAATGTATTTGTACACGTGTGCGCACCCTCTTTATAACTGTGGCTGTTCAGAATTAGACAATAATATTTACATTTGTGTTTAATGGGAGTCGGCACACACGTGCCACCATTTTAAGTGGCTGATTCACACAAAATAAATTTCCAGATCTTCGTTACATGTTTCTTAAATTAATTAACAGGTTAATCAGAGGCACTTTAAAGTGGAACTCAACCCAAACATTTTCTTTCGAGAATATGTTCTATGCAGCCCCACTAGTTTAAACACAGCATTCTGATAAATATTTATTAAACTCTCATCAGAATTACTAATAGCCACTGATTATTCCAAGGCCACTTTGAATTTGTTCCCTCCTGCTTGACTGGCTTGGAGGGATCTAACTTTGATATGTTTATAATCAATATTTCGTCTCAGTCATTGTTCTTGTCTCACGCTTTCTCCTGTCAGTGCTGCACATAGTTATGCAACGGTATAAAGAAAGATGATGTTGCAGAGGAAAGTAGGGGAAGACCAGATGAGGAGGGGAGAGAGAGTGTTCGTTATTATTTCTCCCTGCTGCAGGTGTAGAACAATAGGCTGTGGAGAGCAGAAAACACTGCACCTCCTACTATATGTTTTTCAGGCAGTGACAAAATGAGGAGCTTTTATGAACCTTATTTGTCTTGCCACCTTCTGAAGTAAACTACAGCTATTGTGTAGTTTCATTTCGAGTTAATTGTAAAAAAAAAAAAAAAAAAAAAAGTCACACAAGAGTCACTCAACAGACCAGTGTTTCGCCGTAATCTGTGATGTATTCATGATTTGACAATATCTTATTTTTCTTCCCCTCCATCTCTTTGTAGGAGGGAGGGGTGCCATGGAAAATCCACAACCAGGAGCGGGGAGATATGTGAAAGCATCCTGCAGTATCGCCTTGGTCATTTGTACCTGGAATGAGCGACTATGTCGGAAGACAAGTCGGTGACATGCAAAAGACGATCGTAAAATGGGGACGCTCGGTGGATTAAAACAAACAAGGAGATATACGACAGCATCCCCGCACTTCCAAACACGGGACTGCGTGACGGGTCTGTTGGAGCAACGTGGGGAGAGCGAGAGGGAGAGGGAGGCAAGTGGGGGAGGGGACGGAGGGGGCGGAGGGGGGAATTCAGCGCAGTGCGAGCGACTGGTGAGTGGCTGCATCAGCATCACTAGCTGTAGCATCTTGAAGCTGACGTGTGGCTTGTGGCTCCCCGCAGCATCTCCATCGA